ACTCTTTTGCCTAATAATAAAAATTGACCAAGTATGTTTTAATTAGACAGTACATCCAGCATTACAATGGAATGTATTGTAGGACAGTTATATTTTTATTTAAAAGCAAAATTAATTAGCTGCAATTAAAGAACTTCACTCGACACTCCAGTTTTTCTCGGGATGTTTCGCATATATCCATATCAGTCTTTCAATAAAAAAAAATCAGCAAAAGTAACTGTTCTTTGATGAGAACTTAGCTCTAAGTACTGTTATCAGAATATATTCTGTTTATCCTTCCTGGTGCTTATCTGCATCACTCTCAAAATTTACACTCATCAGTCAAACACGAGATTTCTCAATCTTTCATCTACCCCAAAAAGGTGTTGCATAAAATAATAAACAGCAATGAAAAAAATTGTCGAAAAATCCCTCGACATTATTACTGCAGTGTCAATTTAGATTCATACAAGAGGCCCATGGGCCACATCGCTCACCTGAGCACATTAGCTAAAAGCACAAATCAGTTCAGTATTGAAAAGATTACTTTGGGGGGGGGGGGGGGGGGGCTTGAATTTTAAACTACCTGATGATGCTTCCATGTCAATATAAGAAATGGCTTTGTTGTACTTGAGAAGATTTTTAAAAAAATTTCCCATATATTCCTTTGTAAAAATTTGATCCCCCATTGTGGCTCCTCCCTATCCCAGGGGTCATCATTTGAACAAACTTGAATCTACACTACCTGAGGATGCTTCCATATCAATATGACTAAACATACCTTTTCTGTTCTTGAGAAGAAATATTTTTCCTATATGTTCTTATGTAAAATTTTTGATCCTGCATTGTGGCCCGACCTTATCCCCGGGGGTCATCATTTTAACAAACTTGAATCTACACTACCTGAGGATGCTTCCATATCAAAATGACTAATCATGGCTTTGCAGTTCTTCTTCAGAAGAAATTTTCCTATATATTTCTATTTAAGACTTTGATCCTCCATTGTGGCCCCACCCTACCCCCGGGGTCATGATTTGATCAAAATAGAATCTACACTACCTTAGGATGCTTCCATATAAATATGATCAATCAGGGCTTTGCTGTTTCTGAGAAGAAGATTTTTAAAGATTTTTCCTATATATTTCTATGTAAAACTTTGATAGTCCATTGTGGCCCCGCCCTACCCCTAGGGGTCATGATTTGAACAAACTTGAATCTACACTACCTGAGGATGCTTCCATATAAATGACTCATCATGGCTTTGCTGTTCTTGAGAAGAAGATTTTTAAAGATTTTTCCTATATACTTCTATGTAAAACTTTGATCCTCCATTGTGGCCCCGCCCTACCCCTGGGGGTAATGATTTGAACAAACTTGAATCTACACTACCTGAGGATGCTTCCATATAAATATGACTCATCATGGCTCTGCTGTTCCTGAGAAGATTTTTTTAAGGTTTTTCCTATATATATCTATGTAAAACTTTGATCCTCCATTGTGGCCCCGCCCTTCCCCCGGGGGTCATGATTGGAACAAACTTGAATTTACACTACCTGAGGATGCTTCCATATAAATATGATCAATCAGGGCTTTGCTGTTCTTGAGAAGAAGAATTTTAAAGGTTTTTCCTATATATTTCCATGTAAAACTTTGATCCTCCATTGTGGCCCTGCCCTACCCCCAGGGGTCATGATTTGAACAAACTTGAATCTACACTACCTGAGGATGCTTCCACGTTAGTTTCATCTTTCCTGGCCCTCTGGTTCTTGAGAAGAAGATTTTTAAAAGATGCTATTAATTTTTCACTAATTCTTTATTATCTCCCCTTGAAAGAGGGCGTGGCCCTTCATTTGAACAAACTTGAATCCCCTTCACCCAAGGATACTTTGTGGCAAGTTTGGTTGAAATTGGCCCAGTAGTTCTGGAGAAGAAGATGAAATTGTGAAAAGTTTACAACGACGACGACGACACCGACGACAACGGACAAATTTTGATCAGAAAAGCTCACTTGAGCCTTCGGCTCAGGTGAGCTAATAATAGAGAACAATCATATAAGAAAATGTGAATGAAAATATTCCATCCAGTCTCTTTTTCAAAACTTTTTTAAAATGAAAATAAATTACAAAATATGTTAATTTACACCTTATTTTCAATACCATAATGTAAAACAAAAATGGACTTCATTTTATTGATTGACATTGCATTGTAGTGCAATAAAATGCAGTTAAATTCTTATTATGGTAAACAGTATAAATTCTCTTGCAAACAAAAAAATCCACTCATCAGTCAAAAAGGAGTGTTCATTTCTTTTGGATCTTTTGCGCATACTCAAACTAGTCATTCGAAAAAAAAAAAACAATAATGCGTAACTTTGCAAAAGTCCTTCGACTTAATTACTGATAGTTAATTTTGATTCATATCAAAGAAAACAAATATTTAAGAATATGAGAACAAAAGAAATGCTCTCTAGTCTGTTTTTGAAACCTTTTTTTTTTCAAAAGCATAAAATGAAAAAAGTGTGTGTATTCAATCAGTTTTTAAATTCAATTAAGAAAAAAAATGACTTAGTTTATTTTGATTGGATTCACTCATCAGTCAAACAGGAAAGTTTATATTTTTTTCACTCTTTTGCCTAATATTAAAAATTGACCAAGTATGTTTTAATTACACTGTTTTAGACAGCACATCAAGCATTACAATGGAATGTATTGTAGGACAGTTATATTTTTATTTAAAGGCAAAATTAATTAGCTTGCAATTAAAGAACTTCACTCGACACTCCAATTTTCTCGGGATGTTTCGCATATATCCATATCAGTCTTTCAATAAAAAAGAATCAGCAAAAGTAAAGTTCTTTGATGAGAACTTAACTGTAAGTACTGTTATCAGAATATATTCTGTTTATCCTTCCTGGTGCTTATCTGCATCACTCTCAAAAAAATCTTTTCAAACCATATTCCAAACAGTTCTCCGTCAATAAATGAGCTTTTACTGCATGCAAACAGTGTGTTCTTTGGGGCACTGCTCATTAAAGCTTGACTGATTCTTTTTCCTTTGAAAATCACCATAGGTGGCAAAACATGGACCTCAGCATTTACATAACACAAAACCAATGTTTTCACCCCTTTCAACACTTGTTTTCGCATGAATGGCTTTCTTCTTCTTCCTCCCCACAATTTTTGATGTTTGATGAACTGTACTAAATCCTGTTTCATCCGCATTAAATATTTGCTGGGGTTTTGACTTTATATTGAGTCTATCCGTAAGATCTCCTAACTTGGTAAAATGGTCTGATATTACATTTGGATTAAGCATAGTACCACGAGCAGCAATTAGACCTTCAGGTTTACGGAGAGATCAGCATGGGTGCCGGTCTCGAAATCCCTGCCACCAGTCATATCCTGCCATTTTCTTGTCTGCATTAAATTGATTTTTTTCTTCCTGAGTGTGCAATAATTGAATATGCAAGCTTACACACATCTGATATTGTCAAACCAAACCCGCATTCCTCCATCTCCAAAATGTGACTACTTGTAACAAGAGAGTTTTCTTCCTCTTTAGAAAGAGTGGTTGGTTTTGATGCTGAAGACTCCAAATCCATTGTTGAAAGTCTCCTCGACAGGGTTGTTCTTGGAATGCCAAATATCTTAGAAGCTTTAAACTTTGTCATTTTCCCCGTTTTAACACACTGAACAGCTTTACTTAAAGATTTTCTGTCCCATTTTCCTTGTTTGGGCACCCAGTCTTTTTTCTTTCTGGCCATATTACAATGTTTTCCGTTTCTCAACTTTAAAAATTATTTTAGTAACATAAAAACCCAAAATCTCTGTGCAAGAAAATGTTTACCATCGGAGATACCTTTACTTTTCTTTTTTTTTTAATTTGCAATTATTAAAAATTTTTGTGTTAAAGAAATCAATTTAAGTATTATTTTCATGATTAGAAATTTCATTTAAAAAATTAATTTGATACATAAAACTAAGATTTATACTGATACAATTCAAATTGAATATCTAAAGATTAAACCTGAGACTGCTATTTAAATAACATTGTCACGGTTTTGCACTGTCCACTTCCCCCAACAAACTGGGGTACATGTAAGTGGTCACAATATGTCATTTTGAATTTTTGAATTAATCTAATCAATTCTTCTAAGCAAATAAATATTTGTGTTTGCAAATTATTAATTTCAAGGTGTATGTTGCCATTCATTACATTTTTTTTTATAAATCTTGAAAATTGTAATAATCCATGAAGGACACAAAGCCGGGATTTTTTTTTCATTATCACGTGACCTTTCTAAAGGGTAGACGTAAAAAGAAAGCTTACAATTTTTCCTCTTGAACAACAAAACATAATAATGTGTAAATTGATATAATGTTTGAAAAACTAGAGTTTATTTATTATCAAATATAACACCTCTCATGGATTGAACTTGAATATTTTATTATCAATACACATGCTTTTATTATGTTTGTTTACAGATTTTTCTGTAGCCATTTTTTAGGTGAAGATTATATATTGTTTACAGGAATGATGCGATAAAAATAATATAAACTGCAAAAATACATAAATGTAAACACTCTAGACTTAAAAACTGATGCTTCATTTTATAGATTGAAAACAAGTTCTTTTGCTTAAAGGCGAACAGGTTTTATTTAAACAATGGTTCATCTCTGCAGTATTTATGACAATACTAAGAAATTGGCTCTGTGCGGTTTATACTTACGGATCGAGTCACAGTTTTCTCCTTCTTCCAATCGAAGTCGTTGACCTTGAATTTTCCCTGTCTTTGATGTTAACACATTTACTTCCTCCTTTACAACGAGAGCTGAACAGGTTTGATAACTCTTGTTTGCTTTAATTTTTTAAGCAATATTTTTAAAATGTGTCCACATACCCCAAGTGTCCACTCACCCCAATTGCCCCTATATTTACAACAGTAAATTCCGATATATTTCGATATGTTTTCTCATTTCAATGGAATGTGAAAGCCTTTATTAATTTGTGTCTCTACTTACTGTGTAAATGCATGTTTCGGTCACTGAGGGGACCGTTTCCAGTCCTGGAAGGTGTTCAGACACGTACTTCCGTACTGCTTCGGTGACGTCATTTGTATTCACTGCGTCCCTGTCATCGGGGTCTATCTCTGGTCCATCGTGGAGACAGGCCTGAAAATAGATTTTTCTCATTTCAATAATGTAAAAAAAATGTTCCAACAACAACATTCGGTTAAAATATTTTTTATATTCGTATTTTGATAATTTCCTAAGCAAAGCTCATACCTTGACGTGTCCAGGATATTCAAAACATGGCATGGCATACACTTTTCCATACATAAAAGTTGGGAACTTTTGCATTGAGTATTGACCGCTCCATTTCTCTTTCCAGTAGTGGACTGATATCCGTACCACCTAGCAAGTATCACACACAGTATCATTACTTAAGGTCTTCCGTTCCAGCGAAAGATCTTCCAGTTTCTAAACTGTTAGCCAGTAATCTATAACAATTTGTCAGCATAAATATATCTTCCTAAATTCTTTTTTCAAAAGATTAAAACTATATAAACGAAAAAAGAAAGTTATTTTCAAAATTACATTTTGGTCTTAGTCGTAGGTTCTTTGGCCCCCAAGAATTTTAATCTAGTTTAAAAATTAAAACTACCTTCATTGGAAGATGAAGACCCAGAGATGACAGAAATTTGTGTGCCCATGGACCAACAGTAATCACCACGTGAAGAGCTTGGTATGTCGATTTGGAGGTTTTTACAGTTATTACGTCTCCGGGAATTATTTGAATTACCTGTTCTCCATCGTTTATTGTTCCTCCGTGACGCTTAAACACTTCCTATTAAGTCAAATGAAAAACAATAAATTTATATGTTATTTATGAAAAAAAATAAATAATGGGCTACATATTGATGATTATCTGACAATTTAAGAATAATACGAACAAAAAGATAACAAGTTAAATAAATTGATGCAAAGCATCAAAATCGGCCGCAAAATTATATTTCATTTTGAAGAATATCCACAAGAAAGAGTCCAAAGAAAAAAATCCAAATAGAAAAAGTATATGTCATGATACATTATTACACTTTTCTGGACATTTTTACACTAGTTTTCAGTGATCATGCAATTGTTAAATATTTATGCAAATAAAAATAAATTTATTAATATGAAAATCGGACTGCAATAAAGTGTATTATTATCAAATTACTTGATTCAAGGACAAATACAACAAATATATACTGTATGTGTACTTTAAAAAGCGGGCTTCATATTTTAGCGGCTTTGGCGCAGACAACGATGCGCTAATTCATGAATACCGCTAAGAAATCATTTATAAATACAATACACGGTACGGACATGTTTAGCGCTAATTCATGATTACGCCAGCAACTCCACCCAGTGGTTGCGCTAAATTTTGAATACGTCAATTTATGTACACGTACAGTAATTAATTATGAATGTCTGAATGCTGAGAAAAAAGACACAAGCTTCACGTGCTGATACCCTGGATTTTTGTCACGTGATAATGCCGATCAGTGTTGTGATAGATATGTATGTGAAGTGCAGAAAAAAATTTCATTGTGTCACTTGCAACTCAATGTTAATTCAATTCTTCTTGTTAATTCAGTTCTTTTTCCAATTTATTAATTATTTTAGGTACTGTAATTCATATCCGGAAACTCAGTAAGTTTTCTTTTTATGTCTTACGCACGCTCATGTTAGGGAGAAATATTCATGAAACAACTTTTCGTAAAATCATTAAATTAATGAATTTCTGACGAGAAATGAATAACAAATTGAAACATAAGAACAACTATTAAGACTTAGTTTTAAACATCTTTTAAGGCTTTCATGTTGAGTAACCTTTATGTTTGTTATCAGTAAGGAATTATTCTCATGAAGCAATAAAAAATTAAGTCTCATTTCACCATGTGCACATTCTAACACAACCACAAATAGATCGGCCGCTGCTGCGGCCGATAATGAATAAATCCCTCCTTTCAGGGGGATTTTGAGAAATCTGATTACTTCCTATCTGATCAGAGTAGAAATAATTCGTTTAACTAGAATTTCCGTTGAAAATGTCACTCGAGGACACTATTGTATATATGTATAATTTGATAAAACGTACATTTTGTATGTTGATCTTCCAAGCGTCTTTATCCTTTTGGGAGGGAATAAAGATGTTTATGAATTGATCAGTTTCAAAGATTTTTTTTCTCCAAACACACCTGGAATGCATACAATGCCTTGTTCGCCTTCAGTATTCCCCCGCTGTGGTCAAGAACACCTATAGCCTCCGCAGGAACGTTGATCATTGGATACTTAATTTGTAGCTCACTATGACTGATGACGTCATGTTTAACCCCATGTGTCCTCAGTGACGTTATTGTATCTTTGATGAAAGGGTCGTCAGGGGTACCAGCAGAGAGATATCCACAGTTTCTGCGAATTTAGTAATTGAAATAATTATATATACTAAAATTTAATCATTTTTGAATTGCAGAAGTTATCGTCAAAGAAAGCCGCAGATCTCTAGATCAATGGTTACCTCGTCATCCATCCCATTTTTTTCAGACCAGTGAGCTACAGATCTGCAGCTACGTCAAAAATTAATTCTAGTAATGACTGATCTTAAAATATAAATGCAAAGATAGTTCATTGTCCTCTATGCTAATTTTAAAAAAAATCTATATCTTATCGTGTATATTTAAAACCAAGAGGCCAAAGGGCCTTGAATCGCTCTTCTGATAAACTGTACAACCTATCACTTCTATTTGAAGCCTCCAAGTATCCTGTATATCTAGATAGACCCTTGGAATTCCAAAGGTAGGTCATCATGACCTACATTTTAGATGAAACACTCTGAGAACCCAATATGATTCTAGGCCAATTAGTACATGAGAGTTGGTCATGGCGACCTACTTATCACTTGTCATTCTCTGAGGACCCAAGATGCATCAACTAAGTTTGATGATTCTAAGCCAATTAGTACCTAAAATATTTTTAAAATTATAACCATAAAATTATAATCTACTTTTCAGATGACATACCGGTACTTTGAGGACCCAAGATGCATTAACTGATAAAGTTTGATGATTCTAAGCCATTAAGTACCTTATACATGTATATTTAAATAAAGCCATATAATATCAAAAAGAGGTCAAAGTGACCTCCTTTTCAGTCGACTAACTCTGCGGACCCAAGATGCATCAAATGATAAAGTTTCATGATTCTAAACTATTTAGTACCTGAAATATTTAATTAAAGCCATAAATTTTCAAAAGTAGGTCACAGTGACCTACTTTTCAGTTGAACTACTCCGAAGACCCAAGATGCATCAACTGATAAAGTTTGATGATTCGCAGCCAATTAGTACCCAAAATATTTAATTATAGTCATTTAAATTGAAAAGTAGGTCACGGTGACCTACTTTTCAGTCGACCTACTGCGAGGACCCAAGATATATCAACTGACAAATTTTGATGATTCTAATCCAAATATTACCCGAAAATATTAAATACAGCCATAAAATTTCAAAAGTAGGTCAGGGTGACCTACTTTTTAGTTGTCGTACTCCAAGGACCCAAGATGCATCAACTGACAAAGTTTGATGATTCTAAGCCAATTTGTTCCTAAAATATTTAATTAAAGCCATAAATTTTCAAAAGTAGGTCATGGTGATCTACTTTTCAGTCGACCTACTCCGAAGACCCAAGATGCATCAACTGACGAAGTTTGATGATTATAAGCCAATTAGTACCTGAAATATTTAATTATAGTCATATAAATTGAAAAGTATGTCACGGTGACCTTCTTTTCAGTTGACGTTTTTTGAGGACCCAAGATGCATCAACTTACAAAGTTTTATGATCATAGGCCTTAAAATGTCTAAATTATGCCTCTAAAACGCTTTGAAATCGAATGCCTGCAAAGCTCAAAAAGTAGGTCACTGTGACCTACTTTTTAATACATATGTTTTATGGCCCGAAGGTGCATCATCTTGCAAGATTTCATGATTCTAAACCTCTCAGTATTCGAATTAATGTCCTTAATTGTTTTGAAAAAGATTAGCCATCAAATTTAAAAAGTAGGTCAAGGTGACCTACGTTTTAGTCGACGTACTCCGAGGACCCAAGATACATCAATTGACAAAGTTTGATGATCATAGGCCTTAAAATGTTCAAAATATGCCTCTAAATCATTTTGAAAAAGAATGGCCACAAAATTTAAAAAGTAGGTAACCGTGAGTGAACGTGATATGAGGTCCTTAGATGCATCAACTGACAAGATTTGATGATCCTAGTCCTTATAGTAAGCAAAATATCAACATTTTAATAAAATATAATTTTTGGTCAACTTTGAAGTGACCTTGAGACCACGCTCTTTGCACCAGGGTGATGCCTTGAACAATTTTTAATCTACAACATATCCTCATCCTTTTGTGTAATAATTGGTGATAATATGCCCAGTGCTTCTTGAGAAAAAGATTTTTAACAACCAGTACTTTTGTTTCTATTTTCCTAATTATCCCCCTTGTTTAAAGGTCACAACCCTAGTTTTAGTATAAAAGGGAGCCCTTGGGCCAAGGATACCCTGTGACAAATTTGACAATAATTGGCCAAGGGGTTCTTGAGTTATGGCCCATATTCTAAAAAGTTTACGCACACCGCACAAATGGCCATAGCATTAGCTCTTTGAGCCTTTGGCTCAGAAGAGCTAAAAATGTCGGATTTATTACAATATCATTACAAGAAGTACTAAGAAGTATTTTGAGTTTCTGATAATATTTAACCCTTTTTGCACCTCACCCGCCCCATAAATGGAAATCTTGGCCCTGTCTTACGAGAGAACTTACGACTAAGCTAAAAATGTAATATTATTTTGGGGATAACTCTCTTTTTTTACATTAATTTGAAAATGGTTTTGATCTTTTTAAAAACATTTAGAAAGATATATTTATTGATGCAATTTTTAACAGAATCGTTTATTTTGGAAGATAAGTCTTAGGTATTAGTCGTAATTTCTTCTGTAAAACGGGCCCCTGGATCTGCCCCTGCGGGAGAACTAAGATTCTCTCATGTTCCTCTTGTACTCACTCAAATATACTGGTGTTGGATTCTCGTTCAAGTTTACGCCAAAGCATATGAGATTCTTTCATCATAATGGCGTAATGATCGTCACTGGCGTAAGCAACACGCGTGATGCGGCTTTGCCCGTGGGAACTACCTCGTGTATGCGGGAGCGGAAACTAAAATATTTTATTGTATAGTTATTTAAACTTCTGTTTTTTGTTAGAATATGATAATAATAAGAGTGATGAACCGTAACATTATATATGTATATTGAAATTAAAGCTCTTCACAATGAGCATGTGCTTACAAGAGCTTTTTTTCATCAGAGAGCAAAACAAGATTAGTGCTCGTGTATATCACAAGATATCTGTAAAATTATTTTGATAATTATGGTTTAATACATAATTTCAATCTCTTGTTTTATGATTCTCGAATCATGTTTTGTGATTGTGTGTATTAATAAAAAATATGAAACATAAAAGTCATAATGCTTTTTCAATGGAGTCTACATTTCTGGCACAAAACGTCTCCGAATATTAATCTATTTTTAGTATCTTTACGATTGTTGCTCATGAAATAGACACAATATCAGGCAACACTTCTAACAATAAGAAAATCAAATTGATATGAGTTTTTTTTTAATAAAACTAAAAATGCATTAAGCTCAGATAATTCATAATCTTTGAAAACATAATGTGAAAGTCAGCCATTTCCCATATCTCTCTTATTTGCATGAAGATCTGCAATAATTCCATATTTATTTGACTACTATTCTATTAACATCGACTTTCTCCTGTTTTTGATGATATTGCTGATGCAGAAATTAGTGATATGTTTGATTTGCAAAAAAAGATGTTCGTGCTATCACGCTATTGTGCTATTACATTGCTGTTATATGTTATCAAGGTTTTGTCAAAGGTCAACATGTCCAAAAATTTATTTTTACAATAGCTCCAAAACAATGTGGTTTATAAAGTAAAAACTTTTACAGTTTATAAATATATCATTGATTAACAGATAGAAAGTATCACTTGATAACAAATGTTAAAAACAAGATGTGTTTGTGAAACACTATGCACCCGGCGGCAACAAAGTTCGAAAAAGCTATTTTTAGCATATAGTTCACAGTCAAGGTCACAAGGTCATTGACCTTGGTGTCATTTGAAAGAACTTAATGAGTGGAGTATGCATACCAAATATGAAGTCTCTCTCTCATGGTTTCAAAAGTTATGGTGAAGGTTAAAGTTGACAACAAACAGACAGACAGGACAAAAACAATATGCGCCCCCGATCTATCGATCCGGGCGCATAAAAAATATTTATCGAGAAAAATTCTTTCTAAAAAATGCATATATTTCTAAAAAATGCGTCTTCTTAATTCTGTACTTTTAGTGGAAACCATCATTGCAGAAATAATATATGTTTATCAATGAAGGGCAAGTTGGACTTCGATAGCCTCTTGAAAGTTGTTTTCCCTGTTTATTTTGTCCAAATGTAAAGATTTGAAACCGAAAGTACATTGCAAATGGCGGATTTTATAGGGGTCTTGTCTTTATACATGTCATGCTTTTGATAACAGCCTTTCAGAGACCATTCACGTCCAACTTGCCCTTCATTGATAAACATATATTATTTCTGCAAGAATGTTTTTCAATAAAAGTACAGAATTAAGCAGGTGCATTTTTTTTAAGATATGCTAATTTTTTGCATTTTTTTTCTCAAGAAAATATATTTTTTTTTTAATATTTGTTTTCAATTTATACTTTCTATCTGTTAATCAATGATATATTTATAAACTGTAAAAGTTTTAACTTTATACCTCACATAGTTTTGGAGCTATCGTAAAAATAATTTTTTGGACGTCTTGACCTTTGGCAAAACCTTAAAGAGGAATCTTGCCCTCGAAGTTTGACTTACCTGTTCCAGAAGCAGCACCCTTTGTCCATTCTTAGCGAGGGTGTAGGCTGTAGCTGATCCTTCTACCCCTGCCCCCACTACTACCACATCATAACTGATCATTGCTATGACAAAAATTGTCTATTTAGTCATCAAGAAATTGTGTGCCTAAATATATGGAATCCTCTTGCTGTCTTTATATTATTTCTCATGTAGATGGGTTCACTGTTTGCAGTCCTCTTATGTCCGGTGTCGCATAATATTTGGACCTTTAAACGAGGCGGACCAAATATTATGCGACATCGGTCATTATAGGTGTTTACTGCCAACTTTTTGTCTTAAGGAAGATTATAAGCACAATTTTAAATCCACTTGATTTTAAATTCTTGTACAATCTTGTTGTCTCGGGTTGATGACCAAGCCAAACAAAATGTGTTTGGTTAGATTTCTTAGTCAGTTTGCTTCGTTTCTTCTTCTATTTGACCAGTAAAGAACCTGGTTGGATAAGGCATGGGGAGTGCCTGTAACTGATAGTGTATGAAAAATCAAAATTATCTTGTGAACTAAGTAATTAAGACAATTTAAGTGGATTTGAAACCATGAAAAACACTTTTCTGTGGAAAATTTTTGCATCAAAAATTATTCTATGGTTTTAAAAAATGCATTCGTTATTTCTGTGGGGATTGAACCCATGCGATAAAAATCCTTAAGTTTTTTTTCCATTTAGAATGACAAGTTAACCTTTAAGCCAAACAAGATTTTTTATCACTGTCTTGTCCCAAAACACAAACACACACTTCCATGACATTTTTTTTTTCAATAAACCATTAAATGTTCGCTCCAAATTTTAAGTTCCCTGGATATGAATTACCTGGAAGTTCGTACCACCATATACTTATGAAAGTCAATTTCACTGCTTGCTCCAATCATAAATGTGTCCCAAAGAACCAAGATCCTTTATATGACATATATTACTGACGTGCGCAGCACTGTTAAGGAGAACTTCGAAGAAATCAACAGAATATAAACGTGTATAAATACATACCTTTTTAAAATTAATTTCAATTTTGTAAAGGTACTATATTATCTTATGACTTTAACATTCTTTGAAATAACATTGTATACCCCGCTCTGTACTGAATTTGGTTTGGTCACGTTATTTGATAGTCACGTGATAAATGCATGTTATGTGTACTGTATGTAGGTCACAAACAAATTTCAATATCGCAAGGGCATACCCTAGTTAAAATTAAAAATTAAAGTAATAGATTGTTTCTACATAACTTGTAGTCTATGGAAAGTGCTGCTGCTTTAAATAGAATTCGCATTTTATTAGTTTAAATTTCAAGTTATCTTGCTAATGTCGAAATATGTGTGACCTTTACGAAGTATTTTATGTATTTATTAAGTTATGCTATCGATCTCAGGAAAGCAGCAGCACTTTTCAAGTTAAGGAATATGTCCATTATGTGTATTCAAAAAATGGTCAAGATCTATTAAGTGTATGCCCTTGCGAAAAGGCGATTTAATCAGGCACCTCGGCTGAAACATGCACACCCTGTAGACAAAAACACGGTAGAATTAATTTAATACATTCTTTCGATATTTTTTAAATAATGGCACTAAACAAACGTTTCAGATTTGTATTAATGGTCTACCTAAGATTTTCAAATAATATTCTGTTTAATTACAAAATGCATTTTTCACTGTGAAAAAATTACTTGATCCGCCTCTCACTGCACATAAAATGCGTCAAACTTCCATGATGACGTCATGTCGACAAGTGCATTGTGATCAGTGACTTGTTTATATCTTGCTGTGTGGGATTTAACTAGCGACAAAAGTGAATGCAGTGGTAAGTTTTGATGCAGTTCATTACTCTTATGCAGTTTAGATTCGCAAATTATTTCATTTTCTGTTATTGTTAGGAATTGCTATATTTGTGTGATGTCACAGTAAACTTTTCCCGTATAAATTAGACCCCGCCCCCTTTATACAGCCTTAACAGAGCTGCGTGTCTCAAAGCCTTCATACGTATACAAGCATACAAATGATTATAATGTAATAAATGTAATCACTGTAATTACGTTCCTTTTATATACATTGAACGATACAATATGTTTATAAATGTTAATGGTTGTATATCTTTTAGTTCAGTCAATATATCATCAAAACACTCTAACCCTAAACAAATTGCAACAGAAATTATACCAGTTGAATTCTGATATATATATATATATATATATATATATATATATATATATATATATATATATATATATATATATATATATATATATATATAGAATGCTCCTTTGATATATCAAATCTCTAGAAAAATATTATATTTGTCCAAACCTCTTTTTTTAAGTTTTTTTTTTTAAAACCTTTTTAAAAAAATAAAAAGGATTATAAATCACTGTTAAAAGAGACATTCTCTACATGCACATATACTTTTTTTCATTTATAATCATGGATTTTCTTGACTGCAGGTCATGATTTTTTTTCATTCTCATACTATCATTTGAAAGAGTAAAGATATCAAAGACAAAAAAAAATCTTGAAACTTCGAGGAAGAATCCATACAATCAAATTTTGCTTGTATTATCTTGGTTGCCATAGTAACAGGGTTTTCCTCCATACCCTTTAAATTGAAAATGTGAATTATCTATCAAAGTGTCGGAATCAATTTATTTGACACAATTAGTAATAGATCAAGTTGTTAAACATAGAAGTGAAAAAGATGTTTCAGTGTTTCCATGGAGATGATCTCTTGGTGATTCAGAAGAATCATTCACTTTCTATTAGAAACAACATCCATTTTGTTTATGAATTTTATTCAAAATATACATAAATTTTTCCAAACTATTACATTTTCATCTTAAAATTTAATACTTCATTGAATGTCATGAAGAATACAACTTGATTTGCATGCTGTCATCTGTCATCAAGAGAGAAAAAAGAGGGGGAAGGGGTAATTTTCATTCCCAGTTACTAGAAAATCCAGATACCTTTGGCACAAAGTATTTGTTCTTTTATTACATGCAGTAAAAAAAAAGTAAAATGAAGAAAACATCAACATTTGCACATGTAAGCAACTTGCAATTCTTTCTTTCATTAGATTGAACCTTATTTATTTACTAGATGCCACAGTTGTGACTGCAGAAAAGTTATGAAATGATTAAATATAACCATTGAAAAGTATAACGAATTTATGCATAAAAGGTAGGCCTAAGTATCCAGTAATACATACTTTTTGCCAGTTACCAGATTAATTAAACATGAAAAGGCAACCCTGATCCCAAATGATTTCGTCTTTCTACCTGTAGTTTGTACCAGCTTAGAATACTCTGCAATGTCCGCCATTTCTCTAAGTACTTTGGATAGAAACAAGATTTATTTAATATAAGAATACTACCTTGATCCCAGATGCTTGCTCTCACCTATCTCTACCTTGTACATGTACCAGCTAATATTCATGCCAAAAAAATTGCTATACTTTACCTATTATGCAAAGTCACACGCTGATTCTAGAAGTATAGTGTCAATTCGCTTAAAAAAAAATGTACGGTGTATCGTGTTTTAAGTAATATAACATTTCAAATATATTTAATTTTCTGCCTGTCATATGTATGGCATGTCAAACGTTGCAATATTCTATCTTTTCCATTTGTATTGTATAATTTTTATTTGTATTGTATAATTTTTCATTTGTATTTTATAATTTTCCATTTGTATTGTATAACTTTCCACGTGTATTGTATAATTTTCCATTTGTATTGTATAATTTTTATTTATATTCTGTAATTTTCCATTTGGATTCCATAGTTTTCCATTTGGATTGTATATTTTCCATTTGTATTGTAAAAAAAAAATCATTTGTATTGTATAATTTTTCATTTGTATTCTATATTTTCCAATTGCATTGTATAATTTCTTATTTGTAGTGTATAATTTCTTAGTTGTATGCGATAATTTTTCATTTGTATTGTATCCGAGGATTGTTTATTTATTTCGTTACGAAGGATGTCATTGGTCATAAGTCTGTATAAAGGTTTCAGGTGCCCAACACAAACTTAGTCTGGTATCCTTCCCACAACTCCGACCGCACACTCACTACAAACACAAACTCGGCCCCTCTATTTGCGTGTACATTTGATTCTCGGGGGGGGGGGGGGTGTCGAATCCGATTATTTTTTTTCCATTCTCTCACAGGAGAGAATATTTATTTCCAATATGACCAGAGACAAGGCGAAAAACGAAAAGAAGAAAATCTGCCCAAACCCGAAAACTCATGCAGTTTCTTTGGGGTGGGGGTAGGTTCCACCACTCAAGGTCAATCTATTTATTTTCTCAGTCATTATTTCTAAGGACAGATTATTTATTTGCCGCCGAAATATGGCTGAAATATTGCCGACTCAGCGTTAAGCAATAATCAAGCAAGCATGCGAGTAAGCAAATACATATGAGCACAGTTTGCTTTGAGCACCCGGAACATCTTCAACCCGATACAGGCTGAAACTTGACCAATGAAATCCTTCGTAACGAAACAAATAAACAATCCGCGGATACAATACAAATGAAAAATTATCGCATGCAAATAAGAAATTTTACAATACAAATAAGAAGTTATGCAATGCAAATGGAAAATTATAGAATACAAATAAAAATTATACAATACAAATGAAAATTATACAATACAACTAGAAAATTATAGAATACAAATAAAGATAATACAGTACAATACAAATAGAAAATTATGGTTAACGCTAAATTATAGAATACAAATTGAAATTATACAATACAAATGGAAAAGATCGAATATTGCAACGTTTGACATGCCATACATATGAACCATTGTTGGTTGTTGATTAAAATACAATATTTTGTAAGTTGAACGATTGTCTTAGGAGAAAATCACATTTTATAGCAGAAATTTTGAATTTTGAATGTAGAAGAATCTTGAAATCATTACAGATCTATTTCTTGGTTACACTGTCTTAATCTGAGCTATATTATCTAAATATCACATCCTTCACATATGCGGGTCAAAACTTTAAAAAAAAAAATTAATATAATTATCGAATTCTGATGTCGCCGCAAAACAAATACTTTCCCATCTGGATACTTAAATGAACTTGTAGCTTTGCTGAATTGATGCAATATATGATTAATTGTAACTTTTTAACACCAAGAACATTTATGCTATTATATGTAATGATACAAAGGGCACTGTTTATCTGTATTTATCAAATATAGCTCCCCTTTTATTATAAATCTAG